CCCAGGCTGCCCAGGGGGGCTGTGGAGTCTCCTTCTCTGGAGATCTTCAACCCCCGCCTGGACGCTGTCCTGTGCACCCTGCTCTGGGTGAGCCTGCTTGGGCCAGGGGGGTGGGACGGGGTGAGCTCCCGAGGGCCCTTCCAACCCTTGCCAGTCTGGGATTCTGGGATTCTGAGGTGGCCGCTGGGGAATATCAGCCTCTAGAAAACCCGATGTGTTCCAGTTATTTTTTATCTCCGTATTAGCAAATGCCATAAAAATAAGCAAACAGTATTGTTTTGTCTTCGAGGTGGACTGACCCACTTATTTGAACATCAGCATAAGGCATCCCCTGGTTATAAGCCCTTGCTGAGCACGCCGAGATGCCAGTGGGTAGATTAGTACTGGAAAACCAAGAACATTAACCCCCGCGCCAGTACGATCTCAGAGCATTTTGGCTGGATCTGAGGAAGAAATTCTTTAGAGTGAGGGTGGTGAAAGCCTGGCAGGGGTTGCCCAGAGAGGGGGTGAAGGCCCCATCCCTGGGAACATTCCAGGCCAGGTTGGACGGGGCTGTGAGCAACCTGATGTGGTTCAAGGTGTCCCTGCTCCTGCGGGGGGGTTGGGCTGGGTGACCTCTGGGGGTCCCTTCCAACCCAAACCAGTCTATGATTCTATGATTCATCCCTTTTCGCCTTGATTGACCAGATGTATTGGGTTGAGCAGCATAGGGATGTGCTTTCTATTGGTATGTAGAAAGAGGTTGATAACACACCAAGGTTTTGGCTACTGCTGAGCCGTGCTTGAGCAGCATCAAGGCTGTGCCTCCAATATCCCCCCCCACACCAGTGGGCTGGAAGGGGGCAAGATCTTGGGAGGGGACATAGCCAGGACACCTGACCCAAACCAACCAAAGGGATATTCCATATCATGTGATGTCAGCTTAGATATAAAAACTAAGGGAAAAGGAAGAGGAGGGGGGACATTTGTCTTTTGTGATGTTTTGTCTTCGGGAAGGAACAACTATGGATACTGAAGCCCTACTTCCCGGCTGGACATCACCTGCTAATGGGAAGTAGAGAGTAAAATCTTGTTTTCTTTCCTTTTGCTACCACGCGCAGCCTTTGCTGTTGCTTTTTTTTTTTTTCTTTATTAAACTGCCTTTATCTTGACCCACGAGCCCTTTGATTTATTTTTCTCTCCTCTGTCCGGTTAGAGGGGAGCGATAGAGCCGCTTCGGTGGGCCCCTGGCATCCAGCCAGGGCCAAATCGCCACACCAGAGCAGCACTCCAGGTACCCAAGGGTTTCGTTTCGCAGCCGGGGCGTGCGTTAACAGGTTTGTATGTGGCAGACGAACCGCAGCGATGTCGGCGAGGGCCATGAAAATGAATGCAAAGAAAATGCGAGGGAATCGAGCCCTACCGAGGCTGCGGGGTTATTCCTATGCCAAAGCAGCCAAAATCTGAACGTTCAGCGCTGCGGCTCCACCGAAGCAACGCAGGCAGATCCAGCACCCATTAACATGGATGCAACCTCAGAGGTAAAGGAGGTGTGGATGCCAGGAATTTGGCCTGTGGGTTTTATTTCAGCGCTCACATAATCTGACCTAATTTACCATTGCCTCGCTCAATGGCTTAATGGAACAGGGAGAGGCAATGCCCAATGAGTATAATTAAGCCTGTCTTTTGTATTACTTCCCAGACCAAATTTTTTCATCAACTTGCCTTTCTGGTTTGAAGCCCTGGGGAAACAATGGGAAAGGCGAAGCACGGGACTGACTGATGGCATTGGGCAGAGGAGGCTGAAAGGATCCCACGGGGTTTGCTGGGTTTGGGTATGGCTCTCTTTTTCGGTTTGTTTTGGTTTTGGTTTTTTTTTGGTTTGTTTCTAGCACTTATCAAAATGAGATCCAGAAAGGAGAGAGAAAATCTTGGCTTGTCATTCAGGGGATGCGGGATCAACCTGGGAATGAGCCTGTTCTGCCACTGACTCCTCGCTTGGCCTTGGTCAAGTTGTTTAATTTTGATGGGCTTCACCGCCTCTTCTGGGCAGGGTTTTGTGTGATTGAAAGACGGTGAGCAAAAAAGGGTGAGATGAGGGCTCTGCAAACGGGGCTGTGGCTGGCGGGCAGTCCCAGCCCTCTGCTGCAGTGCAAGCAAATAAAAAATCAGCATTATTCGCCCCAGAGCGAGCGTAGCCAGCACGTCTGGGGGGGGT